GGCATAGTTGGTTACTTTACACCTTTGCTCTCTATATGTATTCCTGGCTAATGTTGTTAAAACAAAACTGCTTTTTATCTTTTTTTTACCTTTTCAAAAATATTGGGTCATTCTGACTCTGCTACAACTTAACAAGTGCATGATTCTTTTATGCATCCTAATCTTGCATAATACTTCTTAAATATTCTGTTCCATGCTTCTCTGGTCAGTAGCCCGTAATGTGATTTTCATTTTAAAGATGCTATAGAGGTGTTAGTTTTGAATTTTTCTGAAGTGTATTTTTAAAATTAAATAAGATACCAATTACTTCTACCCATCTATTTGTGCCCTCCAATTCTAAGTGCACACTTTTGATTTGACATCAAACAAGCCATGAATTCTTTAGACCTTGGACTAGACTCTATAACATGCACCTCTAACACTTTTTTTTTTACCAGTTAAGTTTCAACCAAATTTTGACCAGAACTGTGTTTTGCATGTTACAGTTCTATGAACTCTAAAATTAATTCCTCTGTCAAGTTTTTATTTTTTGACTACTGAACCTTACTTGTGAAAAAGTTGATTGAGAAAATAGATTTTAAGTAATTCTACTTACAAATGCCACATTTTTAATTGATGAATTTGACTGTTAATATTACTAAGAGGAAACAGGAACTAGAGGAGGCTGGACTTGGTGCACTCTTTATGCTTTTAATAAAACCAAAAGTACCTCTAGTTTGCTAACTGTGTTTTTAAAGCTCACTAAGATGCCATCAAATTCCTGAAATAAATATTACAAATGTTTTTGTTTGTCATAGAAAGTTGCATCTTCTACAGGAAAGGCAAGGAACGGATTTTATAAAGTTGCAGCTGTTAACAGTGCAAAAGTACTTTTTATATGATATTTAATTATGCTGATCTGTTATTTAAATGTTATTCGCCTTCTGTTTTAAAGTTTAGTGCATCCCCCCCCCCCTTTTTTTTTTCTTTTGTACATCTAGGTACCTTTCAGAGCATTGGAAATTTTTGTAATGGGGGTCCAAAAGAAAAGTAGTGATAGGTGCTACTTGGTGAAATCTGAAATCACAGATTATATCTGGCTGTCAAGTTTCTGTTATGCTTAATGGAATTGAAGCTTCTTAAGGACTCACCTAAAAGATCTAGCAATTTCTTGTCCGTAAAAATCTAAGTTGGACAAATCGTACATACTTTGGTAAATTCTGTATCATTAAATAGTTGTTTATGAAAATTTGAAATTGTATCATAGTAGATATGCCATTACTACTTTTCTACTAATTTTATTTTTAAATGAAAGAAATGTCAATGATTTCTATAGGAAGCTTCCACAAGTCATATTCATTGCAAACATTGGTCTTGTAAATTTTGGAGGAGTGGTCTACCAATGGGAAGCTTCTTTTTAGATCTAAGTTAGTGTGTTTGCAAGTATTTGTAATTTCTTTGCACTTCTTTGAACACATTTCCTCTGTTGTCATAATTACCTCATTGCCTGCTTCTGTGCTTTGTCAGCATTCTCTAAATCCCCATCAGCTGTAGAAATATTCTGCTACCATATTTAAAAAATTGGTGTAAATCAATAAGCCCTGGTTATTCAACTGTTTCAGTGCCTAGCCTTTAGCTCAAATATATTGTATGTGCTAATATTACTGAAACCTGTGTGATCTCTTGCTTTCTTAAATGTTACTTTTTTCCTTTTTTGTAATATACATTTTTTTTTTTCATTTGGGTGCATAGAAAAGGGGCAGTTCCCACAGGGTGTAATCATGAAGCTATGTTAATGGAGCGTTGCTGTGATGTGAACGTGTGCGCTTGTTGCCTTTGAGCATTAAGTGTCTGCCGATAGAGGTGGTTTGTTGCAAGTACAAATGTCCCATTTTCTCCCTAGCTGTATCAACTTATTATTGTAATCATTTTTTCCCATTTTGAATCTAGATGAACTGGATTTCTTTCTAGGAGGATATGTTAAGAAATCATTTTGTTTGCTGGTCACCTAGCACACTTCAAACTATAATGAACTTGCTCTAAATAAAGGCAGATGGTTTGATAAGATTTTTACTTATCTCAAGCTTGTTATATTTTGATATTTCTCATACTCTTCTCATCCTCATGTTTGTATTTTTTTATGATTTCTATGTGAAATAACCTGTCTCAGTGCAACTGACAGAAATAATTTAAAAGTACATAATTCACCTTAGGTACAAAATCATCTATGTGTTAATACTATCTGATGCTGAATTTTGATAGCTGAACAAGTTGTGGTCATAGGAGTTTATCCTTTCTTTCCACCTTTTTCCTCATTGAGATCTGTTGATTTATTTGAGCTGCTCTAAATCCTCAGAGTATGACTGCTGAGTATGGTACTTTGCATACTTCATGATGTGCAATGTTGTACTGTATGGTACTCTGTATTCTACACTTTTAAAGTAATCTTCATACATCACTGACTGAATTATTCTTTGTCTGCATTAAAAAAAATACTATTTGTTTTTGAACAGTTGTGTTTAGTGCTGTGATCATTGACTCTGAGCCGGTGTTACGTTGTGTAAACCTTTGTGTGGTGTATCTGCTTGATGACTATTTTTCCATAATATTGCATTATGTAGTTGAGTTTCTTGTACAGTATTGTGCCATACCCTGATGTAACATAACATAAATAAGTCGTACTCATTTACTGTCAAGCTTCGTCATCCGTCTATTACACCAGTAGTTTGTGTGTAATACATTGTGTTATTATCCTTTACCATGCTGTATCAGAATTATTTTTTTTCTTCAATTCTGTACCACTTTTTTTTTTTTCAATGTGGAAGCGAACATTCATATTCTAGGGACTTGAAATTGTATTATATCAAAACAAAATATGATGTGTTGAATTATTAAAAAATAAGAAACAAACAAACAAAATTAAACACAATTTTGAACCAACATTCCACACCAGTTTTCTTCCTTAACCCTTCTTAATAGGAACTCTAAATGAACCATTTGGTATGTAGCTCTAGCCGATCAGATACTGCAACCAAATGTACAATATGGAGGAGACTTCTCAATCCAATCACATCTTCCAGCACAATCACCAATAGAAAATGTTTTTACTTCTTGACAACTACAAGTATTTGTTGTAAATCTGAGGTTAGATTTATACAAAATTGTGACAACTTTGTTTCAACTGAATTTTACACAAGATTGTGTAAGTCGAAATTCCAGGTTATAAAGTATGTCTTGGTTGAAATGCAGCTCAATATTTTCACTTACATAGCAGCTGTGGGTGCGGACGATTTTGTGAAGATCTGTGGATGCCAAGGTTGAGGTAAATTGATGTGTGTTGCTCCAATTTGCATGCAATTTTCTTTTTTGTTTGTTTTTTGCAAAGATGGCAAATGTTTTGCTACTATGCATTGTTGATTACTATGTTAGATCAGTTGCCTTTAATGCACAATTTATTTGCTTAAAGCTGCACATAAATACAATATTTTAGATGTCTGTGTATTTAGAGTAAACAAGATAGTGTCAGAACAAAAAAACACTGCAACATGTTTGACATTGCTCTTGTTTTTCGTTACCTTATAGCTTTTCACCCCTATTTTATATTCATCACAAGTGCTCTGTCCGTGCCCTTGAACGATTTTTATGCATGTGTATGATGCGGCTTGATTTATTTTATTTTTTTATATTGATGTGCTCATGGTGTTTACCACAGTCACCACCACTCTTTCACAGGCATGCCTTTGCTTCCAAGCTTTCACTTAACTTATGTACCATCAACTTAATACTGAAAATTGTTATGGCCTTAGTTTGTAAGCTACCATCTCTGCACATGTATGTATTTTAATCTTGGCCTGTCGGGAATTCATTCAACACTGCTCAACAGTAACATTTTAAACATTGCTGTTTTCTGGAATAATATGGTCTTTGTGTGGATTTCTGTGCCAAGATATATTATCAGTAAATAAAACGGTTTTAGGAAATAACTACTTAATATGCATGTAATATCTTTGAGTCTTGTTGTGTCAGGGCATGCTAAGTGTTTCTCACGCTGTGTGTGGATATTTTTGCACAAACTGATTGTTCTTATTTTCTTGTCCTTTTTAATGTGTGTGACCCAACAGTGAGCATGATAACCCTCATACCATATCCATCCCTAGTTATTTAATCCTTTGATTTCTATGCTATCAGAATTGGGCTCAGCTTCCTGTCAATTTTTCATTTTTTAAAAAACTATTATTTTTTTCAGGATATCTTTTAGATGAAACCCGTAATAAACATTAGACATGCTACTTTGATTTCTAGATTGACACATTCAGTGTCGAGCAGCTATGGGTTTAAGTCATAGGGGTATATTTTTAGCTGCTCTGAATGGGTTAATTGTAGTACTCGTAAATGTTATTTTCACTTTTATTTAATTACTTGCCATTTTTGAAGAGAGGAAAATGCTACCACTGTCTATTTTTTACAAGTTTTGAGTGTTAAATACTCTCTGGGCTTATATATACCCCCTTTCACCCCTTCCCTGCATGATTGATTTTAAAGGTTAACTAACTTATGAATGTCTGCTGGTTCTATTGCAGGTGAATCAACATACCTGTGATCCTGGTGCCTACGCTTTTTCATGTAATCATGGGTTGTGGGTTTCATTAAAATCCACCAGCTCACTAACAAAGTGGAATCTGGCTCACTTGCTTGTCTTGCTGCTCTCTCGTCCATGGCTTCTTCATGAGGACAGGAGGTCATCAAGCTGCTTGTCATTTTTATTATTTCATCATTTCAACAGTCTCAGTGTTAGTTCCCTTGTTTATGTTAATAGAGCTGAGAAACCTTGTGTTGTGGTTATTCACAATCAATGTTGAAGTTGCACTAGATATGTGTCAAGTTTATTTCTCATTCTTGATCCATTTTTATTGGAAAGTAGTAAGTAGTCCCTGTTTACTTGCTAGCTTCTGTATCAGCTGTGCTCTGTGCAGTATTTTGTATTCCTATTGTGAAATGTTACCTTTGTGTTTGTAAGTATTATCCATGAGACTAGTTGATCCACATGGTTTAATATCTACAATTGTACAGACCAAGAATTGATGATCTAGTTTAAAGTGTTCGCTCTCAATCAAATTTCTAATCTAATTTTTGTTGTGAATATGTGGCATATTAAATTTCAAGTACATAGGTCCTGCCTACTATAGGTGGAGCAGAATTAAACAAAATGAATGACGAGAGCTTATTGAAAAGCACATGTCTTCACAACATCAAACAAACAAAAAATTAAACTAAGAAAGCAAAGATGTTTTTGTCGTTTTTTTTTTTTTTTTAATAATAATTTTTCTGAGAGGGGGAAGCAGGAATTAATTCCCTTTCTACATTGACTTCCCAAATATGTAGGCTGTTCAGTCCTTTCAAGATATCTATCTTTGGCCTGACCTTCCATCCTTTGATAATTAATCTATATCTGCTGCCTAGTGACGTCTCGGAAACAATGAGATATATTTTAAAAATCATGTTCACTCTTCAAGGTTTACTGAGTGTTAAAACAATATACAACTCAAATCATTTCACATTGGCAAGTGACGCTCAACTCGTTTAGTGTTGTGGAATTTTACTCCTAATATATCTTCATAAAATGTGCAGCAGTTGTGAATACAATTTCTGTTCAGTTCCTATTTTTAGCTTCAAATTTAGATAGTAAATTACTTAATTTTTATGTTTTTTTACTCTGTCATATTTTTTGATTAGAGATTTTAAATAATGTTTTCCAGGGTTTATATGCAACATCTTCATTACTTTTATTGATTACATAAGAATGTTTGCTTTGCATTACTCCATAATGTTCATTCATTGGTCTGTGGCTTTTATGCAGTTGTCAAGGAAAAGCATTGAAAGATTTCTGCTGAACAGAGATCACTTCAACATTTCCTCCCTTACTCACAAAATTGATCTTGAATTTTATGAATTTAAATATTGACTCTTTGATTAGTTGTAATTTTGACAGTTCGTACTTGATTCTTATTTATTGTGCTGATATGGACTACCAAATTTGTGTCTATTAGAAACTATGTTTTTTAGTCTTTACCAGTTTTTACTTTTGTAAGCATTTTATAAATATAGTTCCTCACATAATATGAAGTAGTGTTACTCATAAAAATGAGTTAATTTTTGTACTATAGTAACTAGCAGATTACACATTCATGTTCTTGCTAAGACTGTCTTTTTACCATTACCATTACATTACATAAGTTCATGTCATGAGTGTACTGTGGATAATATGCCTGCAAATAAAACAAACCAGCTACATAAATGTGTTTTAATAACTCCTAAAACAAAACAAAAACTAAATAAAAGCTCGTGGATACAGATATTTCATATTCCATTAATTGGGATAACTGTTCCAATCTGGAGGGGGCCGAGAAGGTCTTGTTCCAAGGGCAGGAGGATGCACTGCCATTGGGCTTTCTGCTCCCCTATTGTAGGCATCAACTAATCTTGCAATTTCTGTTTGAAAGGCTTGATATCTTTGGTCATTAGGTGGGTTATGTGAGTTTTGCACATATGGAGCTTGTGGTTGCCATTGGTTCATAGGTGGTGGCGTTTGAGATTGCCACTGGTTCATGGGTGGTGGAGCCTGTGATTGCCACTGGTTCATTGGTGGTCTAGGACCATAACCAGGCCCTTGATTAGGATGAGTTCTTTCAGTTGAAGGCCAAGCAGAATTAAAGCTAGACATAGCAGGTTGACCAAACATTCTAGGATCAGATTCTCTACCAAACTGCGGGTTGGAAGGATATCTGTTAGGCCTTGATTGATTTCTGAATGAAGGTTGATTTTGAAACTGCGATTCAACATTAAAAGATGGTGGCCTGACATGACCTCTGGCTTGGTATGGATTTACATGATGAGTGGGAGGAGTAGGTCGGTGCTGATGGTGCTGATTCCTTGAATTATAATTTTGAATCCCCGACCCACCCCAGGGGTTTCTTGGACGGAATCCAGTGCCTTGGTGGTCAGGAGTGCTTGACTGATGGAAAGTGGAGGACTGCATATTAGTTCTAGGGGCTTTTGGACTTGGTTCTCCAGGTGACTTCAAATTCCTCATTTTCTTTTGGTTGTCACACTAAAGATAAAAACACACACACAAACAATAGATTAATAAATATTTGACCAAAGATAGGACAAGTCAACTTAATAAAAAAACTGAACATTACCTTCCTCATCTTTACTTCTTCTTCATCATCTGAAAAGTCCTGATATGATGAGGGGGTTTCTTTATCTTTCTTCCAAGATGCATCACTACCCTTCATCCTAAAGAAAATGCAAAAAAATTTAAAGCAAATGTGTCAATTAAACATGTGTCCCATAAAAGCAAACTGAGAACAGTAAAACTTACGAAAGTAGATGCTGAAGGAAGACAAAATTACTATGTTCGGTTTGAGGAGCACAGTAAACAAGCATTCCCGGTTGAATATTTTGTTCATCAATGTGCTGTTTTGAATTAAAACGGACACAGTACAGGGGTTCTTTCACTGGACCCATCACATCAAATATACGTCCAAGTGGTCGAGCTCCTCTGTCCAAAAACAGGACACTTTCAATATCCAAAGGAGGTTGGTCTTTATAACCCTCAACAACAACTATAAAAACAACGAGTTAATTAGTACAGCAACTATTACTCAACAGTAAAGAGAAGCTTGCACTTTATATATTAAAAAAAAAGAAGAACACAGACACAGGAGGAACTTATTTTACCTAATGTATCGACCGCATGGAGCACTTTCCCAATCTCAACAACTTGATCATTCCTCACACTTATGTGCAAATCTTGAATAGGAGGGAGGTCATCAATGTCTAGTTCACCTGGAACCTTCTTTTGTTTTTTCGGTTTGTTAGAATTTGTTTTTCCTTTTTCATCTGTCTCTTCAGTAACACTGAAAAAACAAATTATATTAATGATTAACCAATGTAGAACATCGATCAAGTTTTTCACACATTGGAAACAAAAAGAAAATGAATGATATCATCCGAATTCAGTCAATCCTGTGGGTTTAATTAAGAAACTTTTGATAAGGACTAACCTTTCTTCACTACTATCTTCAGACTCACTACTTTCTTCACTGCTCTCATAACTGCTGCTATCAGACGAACTATCAGAATCTTCCGTATCAGAGTATGGCACAACTGCTCCTCTATGTATGTTTAAGGAATCATCCCCAGATAACTTTGATTCAATGACTACAGGTTCTTCATCAGGCAATGTATTTACTGGCAGATCATTGTTAACTTCATTTGACAATAGTTTGTCAGGACTTTCATTTGGTTGCTTGATTACAGAATCAAGTTCAATTCCAAAAAAACTTGAAGAGCTTTTTAGAGCTGAACCTGAAAGCTCATCGTCTTCTGAGGAACTCTGGTCCATAGCGCCACAATAATTTTCAAAAAGTGGACTTCTTCCTCCTATCGGTTCATTTACTTGATCTTCTAGCATAATACTGTTATCTCTAGTCAGTTCAAGTTCATTCCCAGATGATTCTCCATTACATGGAGGTGAAGTAGAGTTTGCACAATCTGAACGAACCAAAGGCAGGGACGTACTTGGATTTGCTATGCTTTTTTCCTCACTCAAGGATTCGTCCATCAGAGTCACACTGTCATCTTTTTTTGACACAGTCTCAGAGGGTTCAATGGATTTTTCAGTAGCATCAATAAATATGTTCTGTGCTCCATTTTGATTTATAGTGGCAAGCACTTTTTCTTCGGTAAGCGATTGATTTGATGTGATGTTGTCGCTTACAGTAACTGCACTGTCTTCTTTTCTTGACACAGTCTCAGAAGATTCAATGGATTTTTCAGTAGCCTCAATAATTATGTTCTGTGCTCCATTTTGATTTATAGTGGCAAGCACTTCTTCTTCAGTAAGAGATTGATTTGATGTGATGTTTTGAGGAAGATTGTTGGCTCCTACAGAATCAGTCTCCATTGGTAAACAGTCATTAGTTGGATTATCCATAATGTCTTTACCTCTTTAATTTTTTACCGCAAGTACACTGTCCTGAAATGAAAGCATAAAAGTCAACTTTAGCACTAAAAAGGATTTCATGATCAAGATCAAGATCAAATGTTTATCAACACCAAAACATTACCATGTGATGTACAATTCTGAATATGTTTTGCTTTTTCAAAGATCAAACAAACTACGATGTAAAAAAACGCAATGCTAAAGTCAGAGCACTTGTGTGATTTCAGCAACTCATTTTTTATTTCTGTAATTTACTTTAGATTAGTTTCAATAGCAGTCAGCAGCAATAATCGCCCATCAGATGAACACTAACACATTACTCACTTCGGACCACCACATGAACATTCAGGTTATGTTGACTGTTGACCACAGACCACATGCGTGTGCGGTCAATTTGGTCAGATTTCTTCCGACGTCTGCAAACAAATGCCGCGAAAGTTTAAAGTAAAAAATCATTTTTTTCCAGAAGAAATCGGTATTTTCTCTGGGGTTTCACAGTGTATATTTTTAGTTTGTGAAGTCCTTCATTGGGAAATGCCCCCTCACCTCATTCACCTCACCTCTTGCGGAACTTTTATCAAGAAGAGAAGATCCATCGTTTGGTTATAATTTTTGAGCGACGCATGCAGACGGGATGGCATGTTGACAACGTTCTAGCAAATCAGTATACCTATTTCGTTCTTGATTAAGCGGAATTCCAACACCGGGAGGCCTGCACTTTTCTTATATAATCAGCAGCATCGGTATACTACCTATCATAATGTTAAATAAAACTGACGTCTCAGATCAGGTAAGTGTATATGCAAAAGTTACCCTAACCTAACTTAACATGTGCAGTTTGCATTGGTTTCCATGTAAATGGCAATGCTTTTTTTCCTATTTCAGATTACTGGTCTAAGACCGAAAGTGAGACAGGCAGCTGTTCATCTAGCACACCATCTCACAAAGGAAATTAAAAAATGTCAAGGGAGGAAAGGTCCAAAGGCTGAGAAGTTTCACAAGAAAGCTGAAACATATCGTAAAGAAGTACTTCTTCTCAAGGTAAACTGTCAGTCTTAGTTTCATTATTATTTTTAAACATTAACAGGTCCAGGAATTATGTTTTCCTTTCTCAGAAAATTAAAGAAGATTCTGTAAGTCGTTATGCACTAAGAATGGACTTTAGTGAGCGAGAAAAACTCCTGGGTGATGTATGTCTGTCAAATATGTTGGCCTTGATGTGCTTATTATTTTCTCCTTCTTTTTAAATTTTCGGAATTTTCTTCTTTTACTCTAGATCAACCTACCCCTGGAAACCAAAGTTATTGTGAAATTAGCAACCCACAATTCAGTCGCCAGTCATATTAAAAGTTTCAGGGAGAAACACCCCGATTGGGCAAGTAAACTACCAAATCTATTAGAAACCCTTGGAATTCGAGCTAAATTTAAAAAGAAAATTCAGAAGGAACAGGAAAAACAGAAGCGCAAGCTTTCTCGCAAACAGGTTGGTTGCACACTTATTTCATTCAAAGAGCTTGTGTTTGAAGTATTCCCATTACCAAACTTCCCTTTTTATTTGTAAGGCAACAAGTGAAGGATCTCATGAAGATGATGGAAAGTTACTCAAACAGAAAACTACTTCAGAAGCACTGAAGAAGTCCTCAAAGAAAATTGAGAGTTCAGGGGAGGGAGCGAGTAATAGTGATATTGAAAACAGTGATTCAGAAAGTGATGTCCTTCAATCATCTGACGATGAAAATGTACTTGAAATCAGTACTGATAAATTTCATAATTGTGCTGAAGAGGAGGAAGATGGTCAGGAGGAGGAGGAGGAGGAGGAGGAGGAAGATGGGGATGAGGAAGATGATGATGACAATGATGCTGAAGACTCATCAGATAGTGAAGATTCAATTTTATCAGGTAGTGAAAATGCGATTTCTTCAGAAAGTGAAGATGCAATTTCATCAGATAATGATGCTATTGATGTTAATAATAAATGTGACAAAGGGAAAAATAAGACTTTAAAACTTTCAAAAAGTAAATCAGATGACTTCATTCCTATGAAGTCTAGAAGTAAGTTTGCTGAGGTTCGACGCTTTTCAGACTTAATTGGAGAGAAAACTATACTTAAAGACAGGTAGGTGCTTCTGCTACTGGTGTCCTTTAACTTACACCTTACTTAAACATTGTTATGATTTTCTTTTCATTGCTCTCAGGAAAGAACCGGAATCTATCTCACCAAACCTAGATGAAAATTCTGAAAACGAATTGGGCGATAATGAAGCAGTTGAAGAGGACACTTTTTTTATGACTGGCGAAAACAGGTTTTTAAAAACAACTGCTGTCAAAAGGGAAAATGGGGTGGGGTTAGAGTCATCAAGAAGAAATGCTAAAGACATTGACGAAGAACCTAACCAATGGTCTATCAATGGAAAGATTCTAAAAGGTAATCGAGCTGAACGACGTGCCAAATTCTTAGGAAGAGATTTAAAAAAGAGAAAACCTAGACAACTGGATAAGTCCAAAGACTTCACTAGACCAGCTCAGAAAGAAAAAAAAGCTGGTGGCTCATTTAGTAAGTTTCCTTCTATGGATAAAAGCGTTGATGGTAAGCCATTTAAACACCAACAATTTGACAGAAAGCCTAAGAATGGAAAAGAATTCCCAGAGAAGAAAGGAAACATCTCTGGCAAGAGTAGTCAAAATGCATCTAGTGCTAGTAAGTGGATGTAAAATCCGAACAAATATGTTTCTCAAATGTACCTGTATTTTAATTATTATTTTTTTTCCTATTAGGTGAAGCTCTGCACCCATCGTGGGAGGCAAAAAGGAAGCAAAAGGTTTCGCTCGACAATTTCCAAGGAAAGAAGATTAAATTTGATGATTAACCTTTTTTATTTTCAAACCAATAATTATATGATGAGCCTTAAATGAAACGAGAAAAAAAGTAGAAACAACCTATGTATTCAATTTTTTTGTCGTTTTTCACAAAACCAAGTCAACTTCCGTGGCTCCAACTTCCATTGAATGTCACTTTGTCTTTCCCAATTGGAATAAGACACACTACACAAAACTGAACAAAACACAGCAATTGACAAGACATTAGACAACTGACGGACTGCTGAACTTTCACAATAATAGTCTTTAAGGATCACCCAGATGATTCCATAGGTAAATACAGGACCCTGGCAACAGTAACAGAGTCCTACTGGGCCAACTTTCAACCTATGCTGCAGGACCAAAGGAAGAGATTTGTAATCCGGATTGTTGAAGATGCACCTCTTCAACCTGTAAGTTATACTACCACAATGACTCTCTTCTTTTTCAATAAACTGGTGATGGCCTAAATTGTAGGACACTCGTAGAGCAAGCTCTAGTAGCGAGGGTACTAAAGGTTGGTTGTTAGGACCAGTTGTTATGTTTTTCAAAGAAAGTGGGAGTGTTAGAGGTATATTTGATGTTTCTTCTTTTACTATTATATCCGCATGTCTCATTATAGGAACACTCTCTCTATCAAAACACCTGTGAACAGTAATTTTTATCAAAACATTGTAGTAAGTACATGTTGAGACCTTTCCCTCCTGTAATTTCAAAACATACCCCTGTGCACCCAATAAATTCCATGCATTGTCATTAAATTCTCTCGTGTTGTTAAATGAGATTTGCTGTCCAAGCCATAGCGATATATAGTTTAAATTAAAATTATTTTCAAAAGTAAAAGTTGGGTTTGACATAAATGGTTGGAGAGGCAAGTAGAGGAGATTATTTCCGCAAACTGAAAGATTCTCTAATAGAGGAAGATAAACCTGTAGATTGAAAAAAAATTAAGAGCAGTTGAATTTGCAAGGCATATTAATCTTAAATGGATTTGAGATGAATTTACATAATTTGTGACGTACAATATTGTCAGGTAACATAGTCAAATTATTGTTGTCCAGGGCAATTTCTTCCAGTGCTTGACATTCTAATATATCTTCAGGAAGATTTTGTAAGCTGTTATTTCTTAAATCTAAAACTTGCAGCAGTTTCAGCATCTGAAATTCTTTACATTACCATTTCTTAGAGTTGTTTGTTTTGTTTACAATATAGGAAGTTCAAAAAAGAAATTCTAATACTCTTCAACTTACCACAACGGATGAACTTTAAGGTATTGTCAGAAGCTAGTAGATGAGTCAAATGTGATAGACAACCAATTCCTCTTGGCAGAACTTGTATTTTATTGTTTGAAACATCCAAGACCTTGAGCTTTGAGACTTGACTCAGCTCATCTGGCAAGTTTTCTATTTGATTGTATTGAAGATACAAATTTGTCAGATTCTTGAAATTTGTTATCCAGCTGGGCTATAGTGACAACAAGAATCGAATTAAATAATAATTTAATGCTTGAATGAATTGTTTCAACACTTACTAAGCTCACGAGGCAATTCCATTTAAGATAAATTTCTTGTAGTTGGTGTCCAGCAGTCTTCAGTTCCTCCGGGAGATCCGTAAATCCCCGACAGTTCCAGTGTAAAATATGTTTCTCCATTATTTCTGCAGCTAGTTCCTCCATCTCTTATCATTATTCTTAGTGATGGCCAAAAGTTATTGTAAACACGGCTGAACGTATCCAAAAAACTGAGGCGGGACTCGAAAGAATCGTACTGCGACGATGGGTGGGCAAGTGCTGAGTGGGCCGGTAATTTCAGAGCTGTGTAGGAAAATGAACTCTTAACTCTCGTAAGTAAGCAGAACACTTTACTGAAAGTCGAGCAGTCTGTGAAATGACGCGGCCCTCCAACGTAAATGAGGGACCTAGACATGCCGGAGACAAAAACACCCGCCCCCCTTAATTGCGGCACTTTGCTCTACCCACTCACAATAACTAGCTTAGGAAGTTTAATTTGGGATTAAACTTGGAATATTACAATTTCTAGTTGGATGCTTACGCTTTCGACTTTGCTTGACAACTTCAAAGCAGACTGGCAGTCTCTCATAAAGTGGGTTAAGTTCGTTTCAGAGCTTTTTTTAGATGGCCCCTTTTTGTTTTGGTCCGTGGCAACTAGCCAATCTGAGATACCATGGGAGAAGAGAGAGAAGGGATTGACCTCGAGTATTGTTTTTGTTTATTCCTGGCGTTTACATAGCCCAAAGCAAAGCAGTAATTTCAATTAAGCCGAGTAAATATACGGGAAATCATTACAGGGAAGTCACACCGGAAGTACATCTGCGGTACCGTTTCCCGCTAAAAATCAAATCCCGTTGCTAGGCAACGCTCTGTTGACATCTTTGCAAAATGTAACCCAAACATTGTGATTAACACCGTACCCGGGGATTGTCAACACGCTGGAAATAAAATCTAATCTTAACTTTGCTATAATTTTAATTTCCGCCAGGTGATTTTTGCCACTTATATCAGCCGAGGATGTCTAGAAAAGCACTTCATCTTGTTGTGGATCTCGAAATACAAGCGGTAATCAAACTAACAACTCTGCATCTCCAGAGAATTTATTTTTTGTTCAACTACACCCAACACTTATAAATATTTCTTGTCCAGGTGACTTGTCCGGGGGTTTGGCTTTGTCCAAATGGCAATGTGCAATTGCTATTCTCGATGTTGGGTCAGGAGGTTCAAACCAAAAGACTTCCTCCAGTCTTCCCTTTACTTTTCCATGAGAAGCTCACCTTCCAAAAAGTTTGTGGCCCATCTGTTACATTCTTACATAACTGAATATGAAACTTCATATCCTTGCCGTGATGATATGTATTTGCTTTTTAGACATTTTCAAATGCTGGATGTTTGGCAGAAGTGCAAGATAGTTTAGGCAGGGAAGATGTATATGCGGTACTGCTTCAGGAAGTCGAAGATTCAAGTGGTGGAGCAGCTGTACAGCTAGCTCGTTTCCACAGTACTGCTCTCCAAATTTTATACCCTTCTCCCTGTGCAAAGGGCTTACTAGCTGGTGTTGATGTTGATTTATTAATGGAAGCTTCCGCTGACTATCCAGTAAACATGAATCATTTTCTTGGATTTTTGCCTACGAAGCTTGATCCTATAAAACTAATAGATATTAATGCTCACACAGGGTATTTTGTGTCCCAAAATTGAACTGTCAACTAAAACTGTTGTTAAAGAAGTCACTAGTTTGGCACATGAAGGACATATCATAAACCCCAAAACATTGAGCTCTCAGGTAAGATGTGACTTAACTGGTGTATAGTAGGTTATGAGTATTGCAAAAATTATATCAACTTTATCATCACAATAAAGAGAATTTGTCTACCAAGGCAATGCAACAGTGAGAAAGATAGCAGAGTGATCCACAGTGACGGGAGGCATAGAGTTCATTCAAATAACCACCTTAATCCTGGAAGAAAATTAAAGCACAGCCAAATTGCAACCACAGGAATTTGCAGGTGCGTCAAGTGAGCAAAAAATTTAAAATGGTGAAATATTATTTAAAATTTAGGCCTTGTTCTAGGGCAACACCTTGCCCCATCCAGAGTAGAGGTAATTATTTTAATTTAAATGGTCATCAGAGCAGTCACTCAATTTGCACCGGGAAGTGCGGTATTCAGGATGGTAAGCTTTCTTTACACTAGTATATTCTAGGAACCATTTTCTATGTATTTTATAAGTTATTAATTTAATTTTAAATAGGACCAAGAAACATTTCAAAGGAAGTCTGTCAGTGTGAAGCAGGCCACCTTCCCAGCAAATGCCCACTTTGCACCCATTACAAAGCTATTTTTGGCCCAAGTTCGGGATTTTATGTTAGTACAACTTTTGAAAGTTATATCATTGTAATCTTACTAACACCTATTTAACAGAAAATGTTCCCATTTCAGGATGTAAAGCAAGAGAATCAAAGACACCACACAGGTAAACCTTTCAGGTGAGGAAATTAGTTGTTAAAATCTGGGCTGCTTCTTAAATACATTCTGTTATTGCAGACTTCTGCAGTAGAAAGCTGTCTTTGCCTGATGCATTTGAAAGAACAAAAAAGTACTCATTTTTCTACTTTTACTATCTGATAGATATTTTAACTAGCACATTGTTAAAGGAAGGTTTATGTTTGTAGATTATCAAATGCTCTCCATTCACATGTGGATCAAATTTTGGAACCAACCATGAGCAGTATGCTGCACTCAAGGAATCACTTAAGTGCACATATTCCCACCACACAATTTCAGTAAAACAAATTCCTAACTATGAATTTTAAATTTAAAAACTCTGAGGCATTTTTTTCATTGAATGTATTCTCATTTTATAGGCCAACTTATGGAATGGGCACCAAAAAGGATTCTGAAGAACAACATTTTGAATTTTCCAAGGTCCCTACAAAAGTATCAGAATCAGATACGGGCTTTAAAGCCAGCTGCGGGAGTGGTGATGAATTTAATACACATAGACAGCTGTTTTATGCAAATCTAGAGAAATTCTATCGTAAATTGTATGACCGCGCCCGAACCAGAGCACAGGAAGAAAACAGTACAGAAACTACTGCCAATTGAAGAAACAACTGCTGTATGAGACAAGTTACATTTATCAATTAATTTATTTCTATTTCTCATCGTGACGAAAACTGCTATGAATACAGTTAATAAAATATGGGTTAATGCAAGATCTGCTGGATTTTTAGCTAATTGATTCAATAAATGTACATAAAAATAATGTTAGATGCCTTTGACAGACATAAAAAGTTATAATTTCAAATAGTATGTTTAAAACGTTTTATGATACATGATAATTAAATTTTGGAGTTATCCATTCTACACATTACATTGTTGGTTTTAGGTAAACCAATAATGCTCTTACATTGATCAGCAATTCTCATTTAATCTAACAATATACAAGACTTTCTGCACTTAGGTAACCACTGGTATTTACAGGCCTGGCATGATATAAGCAGTATTATCAAGAAGCTTGCTTAGCATATCTTGAGAGCACACATTTGTCTCTGGAACTTGGGATGTGAGGCAAAGCAGGGGGCCCAGCACACAAAGAAGGGAGTCTAAGAGAACTGAGAGACTTCCAGACACAGCTATTTGACCCTGGAATTCAAAAAAATGGTGGATGGTGGTTAGATGTGTAGTAAACATGAAAGTTGGAATTCTCTGTAAATTGAAAATTATAACTGTACCTCATGTTCTTTAAGGCGCTCCCCAATAATGGATAATGACTCGCCTAGAAGTTTGAGATGAGCAGCAACATCTACTGGCTGGGTGCCAACAACTTTGTACATTCCTGGTCCAATAACTGGTTCACTGACAAGACCCTTGCCACCCCTGGAAAGAGAGAGTGTTTCATACATAAGTTAAGGAAATAAGTACAAGAAAATGAGATAATGAATACTGGCGGCGCTGTTTAAAAACATTACCTATCAGGTGGAGATATTGAAAGAGCAGACAATGAGGCTGCACTGTTTGAATGTGATCCTCTGGCATTTTGTTGCTTGGTGGGCGTTTCTCGTGTACTCCCCTTATTGATAAATTTTGATTTAGCTGGTGGTGGTGGTTTTGTTCGCTTCATGTTGGGATGCTCCATGGTACCAGCTCCTGTTCCTGCTGCCCCTTTGGCACCTGCACCTTTGTTGGCCAAGCGCTCAGCACGTCGCTTCCATGCCTACAATTTAAAAAAATTAAACTTTTAGTATACCTATAGTTTTAAGCCATAAAGTATTTGTAGCTGATGACTAAATCTCACATATTTTTCATTGTAAGGAACTGTAGCCCATAGTTCTCCAAGCCGTTTACTCATCTGAGCAAAGTCTGTTGGGTGAAGTAGAAAAAATATTATTACACTAAGTTGTAAAATATTAATCGTGATCTCATAAAAAGAATAATTTTTTACCCATATCAGGGTGTTTCCTGGTTAAATCTTGACGCTTTTCTTTGGCCCACAACATGTAAGCAGTGAACCGTGTTTTCTGAAGTGATATACAAAACAAAACTTTATAAACATTGTATTTACTTGGGTGAAGGTGGAACTGAGAGGAATACAAAACTTACGCCTTTGTCTTTCCTTTGAGCCTTCATTCTCCCAACAATCTTCCCATCACGAATGATTAACTTCTTCTTTGAAGATTTCTCCATCATATATGTTGACTAGGAAGGGAGGGGGAAAATTATTTTCACTCAAGGTTCGGGTTAATGCTACAGGCTAAAATTGTTGATGATTAAATATTACCTGAGCAGGTGGGGGCTCCACAGCATCAATCCTTTGGAATCCTTGGTGGCTAGGTACGTGCCTCTCATCCATGAGAGGGTCCTCATCCAAGTCATCCTCGCTACCTATAGAAAAATATTAGAAAAACTTAACTGTATGAATTACAGGATTAAATAAAAGTGTATGCTGACATATCTAAATTACATACCCAGTGAATCTTCTGAGCTAAAATCACATTCTACTCCTTCAGGAGCTGGGAACATTTCAGAGTCTGACTCACTTTCAGAGGAACCCTGCTCAAGTTTCACGCCAAATCTAGCATCATCCTACGTATTTAAAAAAGTTTTGGAAATTATATAAAAAAAACAATGTTTAGACAGTCACAATTCCTTAATTTACTTACATCATCTGACAGATCTGGTTCTGGTTGATGTATTTGCTGTGGTGGTGGCATTGGCCTTGAAAATGAATGTGCTGGGGTTTGAGATTTGGGGGTTTTCTTTGCTGGCCCAGGCCCTCGAGAGGGAGCTATAATTATTCATACATGAAAAAAATAGTTACTTAACATTAAACTAAGCATGGTTTACTTTCATGACTAATAATAGGTAAAAACCCAGTTCTTACCTGGGGACATTGTGTCAGCCTTGCTTGTTCGTTTTACTCTGTAATCAATTTCATCTGGAGACTCAAAATCCATGAGTTTTGAAGACTTTTTGCGAACCCGCCCAGAACGTGAGACACCTGTCACCTCCAGATCACCTATGTACAAGTTTTAGGAAAAAGTTGAAATACTTAAAGAAGTTAATTGACAAAAGCAAAGTTTTCATGCTGCTTTCAGGAGGTTACACAGCTTTCATGACACATGTCATATCTTTTGAGAACAAAAATAAATATTGTGTAGATGTAAGGTCAAATAATACAGGCAAATTGCGGTCCTTTTTGTTTTTAATTTTCAACAATTTTAGACGAGACTTAGGTTTCATACAAAGTACAGACTTGAATGTAGTAAACAGGTTCAAAAATATACATATTTGTTTCATAAGATTTGAAGTAATCAAAGTCATTGGAATGGATGATATTTTAATAAATACATTACAGCAAAGCAAGAAGTGACAGCAAATGAAAACAGACTACATTACACATTTATGTTCTCATCTTCTTGAACCCAACCATCATCATCAGATAAAAATCTTCTCTTTGCACTTGTATTCATGTAAGGCCGCAATGCCCATTCAGTATCAGCAGCTCCTTCATTGTCAAGGGTTCCCAATTTAATCTCATAAGGCTTAAGTTGGAAGCGTGGTCCGATCTCTGAGAGTTCTACATATTTGCCATCCACCTGTAACAATGGAAGATAATTTTGTGAATGTAAATTATTTATGTCAAACTTCAGACAGTCAACTTTAAAAATATGCCCTTACCTTTCTGTACATGTGATGTCGGAAAGATATGTAATCATCATGGTTAGCATAAGTTATTACTCTCTTACTATCTTCTTTAGGAACAGGATACAGATGTTTCAATACACTCATAATTCTTTGCCCAAGTTGACTCTTAAAGTTATGGAAGATAAGATGGGGGTACTGTTCTGACATGGTTCCAATATCTGGGATATCATGTCGCATAACCACATCAGTTAAGGTGAAGTAAGCCGTTGGACCATAGGGCAAATGACATACAGTGAGGGCGTCGGGTACACCCCGATGTTCATGAACAACAATAAAGTCTGTGACATCATTGGCTCGACATGCATGTATCAGCTGCTTCATTTCATAATTTCCTCTGTTCATACGCTGGGCATTAGGAAAAATTAATCTCAGTTCTTTGACAAACATTTTAAGCCGTGATGAAGGATCTCGAGAAGTAGTTATCATAATTTTAGGATCCTCTACACCAGCCCATCTGTATTCATCGTCTTCATGAGTTCCACTAGCTCCACCCATTTCTGTTCCGATATCTACTGCTTTTTGTGGACCTTCATCTTCCCATTCTAATTTCTTCTGCAGGTGAAGAGCATTCCTCTGCAAGTCTGTGTGGATTTGGGTACCATCTTCCAAACTCTGTTTCAACCGGTCTTTCTTGTTTTGAATACTTCTCTTGCGATCTTCAATACTTTTACGGTACAAATACTCCCGACGGAGACGTGCTTGACGTCGCAACATGATTTTCTCCAACAATATTGGAACTTAGACTCAAAATAACATTAAGCTCTGCCGTTCACTCTCCAACCACATGTGTCGTCGTTGCGTGCCGTTGGAAACAAAGCGACGCCATGACAGTCATATGAAAGGCACACCAACAGCACGATGTGTATTGTGATGAAGCTTATCTTCATACGAGTAAATACCAGACGAGCCCATGATTCATGATATCATTTTGTAAAAGTAAGACAAGCACATTTGAAATTCATCTTGATGGTGCATTATCTAGTAGTGTCAGTCAAAAACGCAAGTTTGTTGGAGTTACATTGTCACACAGTTGGCAAAACTACTATGCATGAAAGCTGTGTAACCTGTCATTTAGGGGTTATGTATACCCCAACTTATCATTTGCATTTAAAGTAATTTTAATCTATGAGCGGTTGACTTACCTTCCTGTTTGCCTCTTTTAGGTGATGCAAATGGTTCAAACATTTCACCGTCGTCGATACTTTTCTTTTTCTTTCCTTTTTGAAACCGATCCATTGCTCCCGCTAGTACTACGAGTCACAAGAAATAAGTTGAAGTTGCCTTATTTTAGGATGACAATCACACTTTTCTACACATTCAGCGCCACCTAATCTTATTCCTGAAAAATCCCCAAGATTTTAGACAACTCGCTCACTAGTTTTCTACCAAAACAAAGGGCGAACAAATAGTCACAACACTGTTTAAATTCTCTCGCAAACAAGCCAATATTAAGTTCTCCTTCGCGCCACCAGAGGCGATGGTGGCGCTATGCCAAAACAAACCACATTCACATACGTATTCACTATTTGGCTCAACGGGCGCGGGTAGTTTCGTACTTTCAAACTCTCTCTCATCCGATCTTGAGAAAAGGCCCTTTCTCGAGATTCGATGTCCGCCTTTTCTCAAGGATGGCCTTTTCTCAAAGTTGTCCTACTGCGAGTACCTACCGGGAGGAAGTGCTTGAAGTGAGCGATGCAGGCCCGTTTTGTCGTTTTGTCGCTTCTTCTACGACTTTGCTCAATGTGTTTTCTAAAAATAAAAATAAAAAATAAAAAATTTAAGAATATGTTTGTTTTCAAATTTCCTCCCGGATTTAGCTGTCATTTGTTTCTGGTTGCTTGTTATTTGCAATTTCAGCGTACAAGCGCGGCGTTGAAAAGCGCGGGCACAGGGGCACAGGGGCCGGCGTCGGATAGTATTGTTGTGCAGGGAGGGGGACGGGGAGCCTAGTATTGTTAAGCAGGGTAAGGGTAGGGGCCTGAAGCGACACTCACTCAGGCACCCGGACACGGTTCCCCCAGCGCTAAAGAAATTGTTTTCTGGTCTCCGCTTGATTCTCTTGCCGTTTCGAGAGTAAAAGCTAGCTGACACCTCAAATTTACTTTATATTCTTTACGTTTAGTCAAAATGTTCTTAAGGTATCATCTGCTAAAAAAATCGAACAAAACAGCAGGTAACATGCCGTAACGGACAATTTTGTGACGCACCGCAAACCGCAAACGTTAAGCGACGGTGGAGGTGCCTCTCTGCCCGATCATGGCCAGATCCTCATTTTTATCCCTCCCGGCCGGGTCGCAGCAGTTATTTCGCTGCCCTACGCTGCAAAGTCTTAACGGTCAGATCTGGGGAAGAAGAGATGAATGGTCCGCGAGGGGCAAATGGAAAGGGATGGGAGAGGACCGAGGGAGAGGGGGGGGCAAGGGCGTCTAGCCGCGGCGCGTCTCGCCGGCGTCGCAGCGGACGCGGCCCGCGCCGCTCGGCAGTAGGCCGACGGACGGTGCCCGGCGCGGTCGGGAGCGAATCCCAAGTTGCAGCAGCAGCAGCAGCAGCAGCAACAGCAGCAGCCGCCGCAGACAGCTTCGATCGGGACGCTCGCGGGGGGCGGCGCGGTGGCGCTCAGGGGAGGCGAGAGGGGAGGCATGGGGGCGCCTGTCGTGGCTGTAGCGCCCGTCTGCACCACAGCCACCCCAGCGCGGCCTCGACGCAGACGTGCCACGGACCCATGAGCTCGCTGCTGCCGGGGCCGCAGGACCACGGCGTCGACGTGCTTCGCGCCCCGGAAGAGGACGGTGACGGCGACGACCGTCACGGCGAGCGGCGTTGACTGGCGCGATGTCGATGAAGGTAAGTCGGATGGGCAGGGCTGGGCAGGTTAGGTCGGCCTGCTCGACAGCGGTCCCGCGGTCTCATTAGCGAGCTCCCCGTCGTGCCCCGCGGCCCAGCAGGTGCGAGTGGGGCCTCGGCTGCGCGCCGTCGTGAGCAGGCCGACGTGTCTCGTGTGCCATCCGCCGCTGTAAACAGAGACGGCGGGTCTATTCGCACGGGGGGAGGCGCCTGCGCGCGAGTGGCGCCACGCGATGCAGGCCGTCGCCGCCCCGCCCAGCAGCGCCGGTCCGCGCGCGTCCGATTCGAACAGCGTCGCCACGGCGCCGCCGCTGTTTGGCGTGGCCGGTGAGACTTTTTGTATCTGGTGCCGAGCCGGAGGGAAATCCCTGCAGGGTTGCCGCGCGGTTGCAGTCGATGGGAGTGGCAGGTGCCGTTCGGTCCGGCGCGGTGCCGCTTAGCAGTTCCCTCCCCCTCCGCCCCCCCCCTACCTCTCCTCCCGAGGCCGCCCTTCGCCGCTGACCGCAATATTAGGCGATAAGGTGCGTCGTTATCGACGGCTGACCAAACGACGCCGCGGGCGTCGCGGGACCCACCGGCCACGCCTGCTCAGCAAAACGCCCAGCTCTCCGAGCCTCCAAAAAAAGGGAGAAAGAAAATCCCTCGTAGCGGGAGCTTCCAAAACGGGGCTGGAACAACGAGATGATCAACAAAGTCTTGAGGGCCTGATGCAGCGTGCGGCCGCCGGTCTTTTATTTTCCGTTGCCGCTGCGGAGGGGGGGGGGGGGGAGACGCCCTGCTGCGAGGCCCGTTTTGCAGCCGTGTCTCTAGCGCTGAGCCGACGAGCTCGCCCTCTGGCCCTTCACTGCCTGCCGTGCCGTGCCGCGCCTCCCACTCCCCCTCCTCCCCGCCCCTCCTTTCGGTGCAGTTTAGAACGCTTTTGGCTCTGGGCGGCGGGGCGGGGCGCGGCAGGCCGCGTGGTGCCCACCCACCTCCGCGCCCTGCCCTGCCGGGGTGAGCGCTCGTTTCCATACACAGTACCCTACTCTGCTCCGAACTTTCACCACCCGAATAACTAGGAGACAAAGACGCCCCTTCTCCCGCCCGCCTCCGCTGCACTCGGCGCATTCCGTCGAACGTCCACAGAAAAGCCCCAGCCCGAGAACGAGGGCCGTGGTGGGTGGAGCCCCCGGCTGGGTAGGCAACCGCTGGCTTAGCGCGCTCCCGAGTCCGACGGGACTGCCTACCCCGCAGGCGCCCGGCCGCTGGCGGAGCGCGCGGCGGGTATCGCTGCTCGAGGCGAAGCTGCAACAACAAGATTCTGAGGCAGGTCGCGTCCTCGTCGCGCTGCTTCTCGGAACACGGGACCTGGAACGGAACGGGGCAGGGCAGAGCCAGGGCGAGGAACGCCGTCGCTGCTGCGGCGGATTGCGAAGGCAAGAACGTTGGCTCGGCGGCGTGCGGCGCCGTCCGTCAGTAGTTCAACCGGAGGAGAAAGAAACAAAAGCCGCGGCCGCCGAGTCGATCGTCATTCCACTCGCTAGGACTCTCCTTCCGCTACGGCGAGCCGGGCGCGCGGGGCCCCCGCCTCCAGCGCTCTTGGAAAGAAACGGCGGATCGGATCGGCGGCGTGGGGCACACTGTGAGACACTCGCTCCGCCTGGGTGCGGCAGGGGATCCCAGTAATGCGATCCCAGGCAGGCAGGGATGTGGTCCATCGTGGGATCCCCCCCGCCTGCGCCGGGGCGGGCTAGTCGTATCCCACCCGCCGAGCGCCCGGCCGACACGCGAATCACGCGGTGGTGGAATAGACACGCTTTGCCAGTCGCGAAGTCGCCCAGCACCGACGGCGGCGGGGGTCCGCTGAGGAGAAGTATCCGTGAAATAACTCTCTTCGCCTTCCACTCGCTGGTGATTGACTCTGGAGCGGGACAGAGGGATAGCCGCGGTTGCTCCTGCAGCAGAGTGCGGTGCCGGGGAGAAGGGGGGGGGGGGGCAACTTCTTCGCTCTCATCGGCAGCGAGCAAAAACACGGTGACTCGAAGCTGCTGTGCGAGATTGAGAATGCTGAGAGCCTCCCGCCTCCCGCCGCCCCGCGCGTCCTTTGCACAAACATTTTCGACGCTCAGTCAGCCGAGTCCCTATATGATGGCGCCCCCACAATGAAACGTTTCGAAAGGGGACGCAACGAAGGCGAAGCCACGCGAGGAAACGATGGCCCCTCAGCACGCCTTTGCCTCCAGAATGCCCCACATATAGGCTCCGTGAGTGACGTTCCCCGAGGCAACAACGTTGAAATGTAAGCTGCCCCAACGTTCCTCGCGTCATATAGAGAGCAATATATTGCTATAGGAATATGCTATAGGAATATATATGACGACAAAACCGATTGGTGCTCATTGGTGTCAACTCGTCCCCGCCCCCTTTTCCCCCAGGAAACGTGGTCACAATAAAGGAACGTTTGAATGTGGAAGGGCGCCTTTCGGGACTCTAAATGTCAGGTGCCTTCTCACCGCGGGCGACAACGCTGCCGCTGTGCGAGGCGGGCGCCGAACACAGTAAAGGTCGCCTTGTGCCGCAACGGGCCTCGCGTGGCCTCGGGCCCCATTAGCTGCCGCGGGTCCCGGGCCCATTGCACTCGCATGTTCCTGGAGGGGAGGGATGTTCACAGAGAGGGTTGGGAAGGGGGGGGGGGTCATTGGCTGTAGGTCGCTGGGCAGTCTGGGCGCACATCACATCCTCGTCCTGGGCCGCCCCGCCCCTCCGCCCACGCTGCGTCACGCTCATCACGCGCGATCATCGGCCCAGATGACCCTACTCCTCCGGGAAGCGGACGCGTCGGCCGGCAATTGAGTGTACTACTGGCGATGTAGTGCAGCGGTGGCAGCGAGAGCAAGGTCTCACTTCTCCGACCCGTAGTACAACTCGCAGTGGCTCAGGCCGCAGCCCGCCAGAGCGAAAGGCCCCCCGGAGCATCCTGGAGCGCGTCCTGGTCGCTGCTGCATGTCGCCGGGTCTTGCTCCCTCCTCGTATCGACGGGTCGCGGGGCGGGG